ATGTGGACCGAGAACTCCCAGAAGTACAAGTTGGATTTCGAAGGGGCAGAGGAACTAGAGACCAAATTGCTAACATGCGCTGGATTATGGAGAAAGCCAGAGAGTTCCAGAAAAATATCTACTTCTGCTTCATTGACTATGCAAAAGCCTTTGACTGAGTGGACCACAGCAAACTGTGGCAAGAAAGAAATGGGAGTGCCTGACCCCCTTTCTATCTCCTGAGAAATTTATATGTGGATCAGGAAGCAACAGTTAGAGCTGGATATGGAATAACTGATTGGTTCAAAATTGGGAAAGGAGTACAACAAGGCTGTATATTGTCTCCCAGCTTGTTTAACTTATATGCAGAATACATCATGTGATAGGCCATACTGGAGGAATCCCAAGCTGGAATTAAGATTTCTGGAAAAAATATCAACAACCTCAGTTATTCAGATGATACCACTCTGATGGCAGAAAGTGAGGAGGAACTAAAGATCCCCGTAATGAGGGTGAAAGAGGAGAGTGCAAAAAACGGTCTGAAACTCAACATCAAAAAAACTAAGATCATGGCCACTGGTCCCCATCTTAGCCGCCTAAAGTGGCCTTTTTGGCCAGATGGGCGGGGTATAAATCAAACAAACAAACAAACGAACAAACAAACAAACAAACAAATAAATAAATAAATAAAAGCAGAGACATCACCTTGCCAACAAAAGTCCAAATAGTCAAAGCTATGGTTTTTCCTGTTGCGATGTATGGAAGTGACAGCTGGACCATAAAGAAAGCTGACCGCCGAAGAATTGATTCTTTTGAATTGTGGTGCTGGAGGAGGCTCTTGAGAGTCCCCTGGACTGCAAGGAGAACAAACCTATCAATTCTAAAGGAAATTAAACCTGAGTGCTCACTGGAAGGACAGATCCTGAAGCTGAGGCTCCACTACTTTGGCCATCGCATGAGAAGAGAAGACTCCTTGGAAAAGACCTTGATGTTGGGAAAGTGTGAAGGCAAGAGGAGAAGGGGACGACAGAGGATGAGATGGTTGGACAGTGTCATTGAAGCAACCAACATAAATTTGATACAACTCTGGGAGGCAATGGAAGATAGGAGGGCCTGGCGTGCTCTGGTCCATGGGGTCACAAAGAGTAGGACACGACTAAATGACTAAATGATGACGAATTGGAGAGGTGCCTTTGAGGACAGTGGCACATCAATATAGTGGCCTCACATATAGTATACCCTTCACAAGAAAGCTAATTCAGCAATAGCTATTGTATTCTTTCTGCACAAGGAATATACATTTTTATTTCTCAGGGCACATCTGTGTGCTCTATAACTGAATTAGTTTAATGATATAGGTAGATTCTATTGCTTTATTCTTGTCGTTTCCATACTGTTTTTTTTTGGGGGGGGGTATGCTGTCTTTGGATGTTTTATGTTGAAAGATGACCTAGAAATTAATATAAAATCATATAAGTTACTATAATACAGTCTTATGGAGGAGAATGCCACAGAAAAAATAACATGGAATATTTCACGGTTGCTGTCCTAGAAATACAACTTTAATTCTGATTGCTTAAAAACAATTGTTTTCCCTTTTTCATAGAGTTAAATACAGGTCAGATACAGGAGTCTATTGGTGAAGCAGTAAATGGAATTGTCAAACATTTCCACAAGCCAGAGAAAGAGGTGAGATTTGCTATATTATAATGGAACTTGATACTATTTTCCTATTTGCATTGATTTGCTGGAGAATTACTTTATAAATGGCTATAATTGGAATTGAGAAGAATAGTGGTTGAAAAGAACTGGTGTGAGGGCGGTATAACTGCTGCCAGATGAAGTTGATGAATGAGGTTTTACATGTCTGAATAAGTAATCTTGCACTTAACTTTATCCTGTATGTCAGTTTTAATTAGGGTCCTGAGATAGGGTCCTGAGCCCATGGCTAAGTTCATTTTGGATAGTGGAAATGCAGAAGTGGGGCTGTTATCAGGGAAACCTGATAACTCTTTCCAATAATTCATGTACATATAAAAAGCATGGGGGACAGAAAGAAAAGCTATTGGTTGAAATAGTGGTCTAGGGATTTTCATTTTAGTCCCTTTAAATAATAATTATTTGTATTATAAAATCCTAATGGTTGTGAGAGCTGATTGCTAATGAAGCTTTATTTCTGAGTCTTTTTCTGATACATGGTGCAAACTAAATCTGAGACAGTGCAAGGTATTAATAGCCTGGGGCAAGCATTTACTGTATGTATAGTTTTTATTAACATAAAAAAACTCAACTATGGTAATTTCTGAAAGAACTATTCATAATATTTTCAACAAAACAAATAACAACAATTAAAATATCCTATCCCATTGGCAGAGGGGCAGTTTGACGCTTTTACTATGTGGAGAAGGTGGACTTGTTTCAGCTCTTGAGCAAGTGTTTCAGCATGGATTTAAATCTCCTAGGCTCTTCAAAAATGTCTTCATTTGGGACTTTCTAGGTATGTACAGAGAACCTTCCTTCAAATACAATCCTATTCATGCATATGTTCTACATAATTGCCATATTCAGTAGGCTTTATTTTTATAAAAGAAAGCATCAGTTAGTACAATAGAGCTGTCCACCCCTGTCTACTCCTAGAAGAGTTCCTTCGATTATGCTTTCTTAAAATAAGAATTATATGCTTACTTGGAAATTTAAGCTTACCTTGTGTTTCTTCAGCTACATTTGAAGAGGTAAGACAAAATATGATGAAAGTGAAAATATCTTTGCATATATACAGAGTTATCTATAATGTGATATTGAAGGTTTAAGATCACATTAAATGTATTCTTATTGACCTCTCATTTTACAAGTATAGCTTTGCATTTGTGTTTGTATGATATTAGTTAGCAGTCTTCAGTTTCCTGCAGAAATGATAATGCCTTTATAGCAAGTGGACACAGGGTTAATTTATCAACATTTTAAAGCCTATGCCATTGTTCAACAAAAGGTAGGAGACTACATAGCTTCTGGGGATTGGGGAATTTCTACTGAGTTTGTAATTATGTTCCATGTCATTTTTACCTTCAGAAAAAGCACAAGGTTATTATGAAGCTCTAGATCAGAATGATCTGGTCCCTGAGGAAAACTGGCAGAAAAGAGCCAGAAGTTTTTGTCATTTTGTCACAGCCATCAACAACACTCCAAGAAACATTGGGAAAGATGGCAAGTTTCAGATGTTAGTGTGCCTTGGAGCCAGGTATTACATATGCACTCTGATTCACTAGCATGTGCTTTGCTTGTTAGCTATTCAAAAGAGATATCTTTAAATCTACCACTTCTCCTGTCAGAATTTTGAGCGATATGACCAAATACTTTTTTTTACTTTGCAAGAAAGTAATGTTGGGGGAAAAAACAGGAAAAAGGCACAACAGCTTATTTTGAAAGGATATACAAATAGTAAACTGAAAATCCAATAAGCAAAAGCATTTATTTATACTTTTTGAGAAAAAAAGACTAAATAACCATGCATTTAAAGATGATGTCTATATGCCACATGCTGAAATGTTGAAAAGACTGTGACATCCTCCATCTATAGCGTATAGAGCAGTGATGGCTAACCTTTTTGACCTCTAGTGCCCAAACTGCAACACAAAACCAACTTATTTATTTCAAAGTGCCAAACTGCAATTAAACCTGAATACTGAGGTTTTAGTTTGGAAAAAACAACTGCCCAAGCACTGCAAGGGATAAAGGCTTGTTGTTTTTTCCTAGGGGCAGTATTAACAGAGAAATACTTACCAGTCCTCCAATCCCCCATCAGGCTAGACCAGTAATGGCCACCATTGCACCAGCAGAGGGGAGTACAGAAATCCGGGATCGGAGGGCGGGTAAGTATTTCTTGATGGCAATTTATGGCTCACGTGCCTGCAGAGAAAGCTCTGTGTGCCAGCTGTGCACGTATGCCATAGGTTCACCATTGTTGGAATAGAATATTTCACATTTATTCTGTGACATTTTAGAAACTTGAAGATGGAAGGATACAACACAAATAGAAAATCCCCTTCTCACATGTTTTTAGTATGTAGCTGTGTGTTTATGTATAATGTGTGTATATTTATGTATTTTGGTGGAAAGTAAGGTAAACTGTCCACATTATATAGATATCTCATGTTACAAGCGCTGTTAAAAAAGCAAAACAAGAAATAGTTACACAATGGGCATTAAATGGAAACTGAAGAGAAAATTAATGACTTTATGTCAAAACCAGAATAAATATTTTGATTTTTTTAAAAAATGAGTTTTAGTCACATGGGGCTTTCTAAGATGCATGTTAAAGATCTTATAGTACAGTGGTGCTATGCTTAACGATTACCTCATTAAACAACGAATCCGCTTGACGATGAGGTTTTGCGATCGCTTTTGTGATCGCAAAACCATGTTTTAATGGGCAAAATTCACTTCCAGACGATTGGTTCCCTGCTTTGGGAACCAATTCTTCACATTACGACGATCAAAACTGCTGATCGTCGGGTTTCAGAATGGCTGCCCGCTTTGTAAAATGGGTCCCCTCTGTGCTTTAGGATGGATTTTTCACTGCACAGGCATTGGTAAATGACCACCCTATTGAGGATCTTCGCTGGAGGCTGAGGTATTTAGCCCATTGGAACGCATTGAGCGGTTTTCAATGTGTTTCAATGGGCTTTTTAATTTTGCTTGATGAGGATTTCGCTCTACAGCGATTTCGCTGGAATGGATTATCCTCGTCAAGCGAGGCACCACTGTATGCTTTCCTATTATAATAAGATTGCAGCTGAATCATCATCACTCTTTTGTATAGCTGCAACAGGCATATTTTTGGCATCAGGTGCCACACATCTTAAACAGAACTGCTGGCCATATTAATTCCAGGTTATTTGAGGTATGATAATATGAGGTGTAGGTAAATAAAATGTTCATGTTAGATAAACTTCTGTTGATGAGAGTGCAGGTTTTTCAATTTCACAGAACTAATATGTAGACATAAGAGAGACTACTGGAAAAAAAATTAATCAAGTGTATAAGATTCAGACCAGCTGTCATGTATCCCAGTCCATCAAGGCAAGGATGTCTCAGCTGCTACCAGGTCATGTCCTCATTATAAGGGTAACAGTAGCAGGCACGCTGTTATCACTTACTACTAGTTTCATCGTTAAAGAAACAAATGGAAAACTCTTACTTAAAACAGAAATAGCAATGTCTTTTCTTGCTTGCTTGCTTGCTTGCTTTAGCTGCCTTTCTCCCTCCTGACACTGGAAGGCAACCAGTATAAAAGCTAAAAATATGTACATATAGGAAATCCATACCTTGATCTTACAGCACTCTTATTCTGTGGCATTTGTGAGGTCGATAACTACCGTATTTTTCGCACCATAAGACGCACTTTTCCCCCCACAAAACGGGGGTGTGTGGAAAGTCTGTGCGTCTTATGGAGCGAAGAAAACAGATTATATTTTCCAGTTTTCTTCTCCTAAAAAATTGGTGCGTCTTATGGAAAGGTGTGTCTTATGGAGCGAAAAATACGGTACTTGCTGTCTTTTTCTTTTGCAGAGTCTGGCTTTAATCTTTGTCCTGCTGTGCTTCTTATCTCTTATCCCGTCTTCTGGTGGAGGAGCTTCTTATCTCTTATCCCGTCTTCTGGTGGAGGAAATGAATTTTATATAATCTTTCTATTTAACCCCACCTTTCTTCCTTAATGGGCCAGTTGTGGCTTCCAGCTGTCCTGAGCAGTAGTCACTTTCAGTTTTTCTCTTGTTTTCTTTTTTTCTTTTTTTTAAATTTTATTTTATTTTCAAAACTATTGGGTGATAGGGAAGGAATACAGAATGCAAAGGGCAGTGGAAGGGGTGGAAAGAGGGTTTTGAGTATAAGAAAACATCAAATATATAATCATTCAATCTTTTCATATCAAGTATATAAACATCTAATCTATTCATGTTCCAGTAAAAGCTCATCTTTCTTCTTCTTCTTCTTCTTCTTCTTCTTCTTCTTCTTCTTCTTCTTCTTCTTCTTCTTCTTCTTCTTCTTCTTCTTCTTCTTCTTCTTCTTCTAACTATTTTGTCTATGTATTTACCCCTTTAGCTTTCAACTTACACATATAGTACAGCTTAAATCTAAGTTATTCCCACAGCATCAGAACACCAAGGCCAATTGTGAGATATATCCCCTCTTTCACCCTCCTTTTGTCTTGAGAGTACACTTGACAGGCCTAAAATAGTATAGATTCTGCTCACTTCTCCCCTTTTCTCCATGTGCTTCTTTTGTTTCTGTGACTCTGTTTTCTTCCATATTTTAAAAGGGGGAGCAATATCATTCAAAGTTTGCTTTTCAACCTCAATTTTCCTAGCTGCTATCGCTACATTGCTTACTGGGTGACACTCCATCCCTTTTATATTATCTGATATTTCCATCAATACACCCGGTTCTGGCATTTCTTTTCGGTGTAATTTAACCTCTGCTTTTTTCTCTTCCTTAGAGTCTTTAATTAAGTCTTCCATCTGGTCAAGATAATAATTTACCTGCATAAATTTTTCCAACACTGTCATTTGAAAAAAAAGTTTTCCAATCTAGCCATTGATCTGTAATTTTCTCAGGGGGAGGTTCCATTTTTCCAGTATATCTGATCTATATATACAAAATACTCTTCAGTTTCCACTATTTTATCCCTCACTTGAAATTCCCTCTCCCCTTTGCCCAAATATACATAATGTGTAGATCAACCTCGAGTCTAATATTTCTAATATTTCACATTACAACTATTACAGTGTTAACAGTAAAATGGCAGGCACACTCAAGCAAGAAATGAAATCTAAAACATGAATCTCTCAAGTGTCTTTGTAGTCCAGTCCCTTTTCTTGTCGCCGACCTTCAGACCGGTTGTTTCTTATTTTCTCTTCTCAAAGTTTATTTTTACCTTCACCCGGCAAGACTATATTATTAGAGTGTCGTTTATCAAAATCCCCAGTTCAGTTCAAACTGCCTGGCCCCCAGTTCACAGCTTACAGTCCGTTCTTCTCCCTTTTACTTCCAAAGGCTTCCTTCTCCTCCCCTGAAAAGGGAGGGCCAGCAATCAGTCTCAGCAAATATATTATCCACGGAAACCAGAGTCTCACACAGTCTAAAAATATATATCCAAAGAAGAAAAGGGTCCAAAGTGAACAGCTTACAACAGAATTTATTCTTTCAAAGCCTGTCCAGTGTTAATTCTTCAGGAGTTTTTTTTCCCTTTAATGGAGACATGAGCTATTTCTGCCTGGCTGTTCCTTTAAAAACAACTGGACCTTCAGCTTGAGTAAAAGCTGGCATGCTGAATACGCCGCTCCTTATCTCATTTTGGTCATAAATTTTCACACAATCACTTGTTCTTCATTTTAATGGGGTTTTTCATAGAACAAGGGCTTCCACTTACTTTGATGTATATTTTCGCCGTGCTTCTTGTTTTCTTATTCTCGGCGAACGGAGTTGTCTTGGCTGGTTGCCAGAAATGGCGCCCGTCTCCGGTCTGTGCTGATGTGAATTTCCAGAAGAAAGAAAAATCGAGTTGCTGCCCAATCTTCTAACTTCTGTGGCTCACCCAACTGCTGCAGAAGGGTCTCTCCTGACCCTTCCTTGGTTTCCCCCCATTTCTAGGGGGGTCCCAGACTGAAGTGGTTCTAGCTTCTCCAGGAGCTATTCCCAAGAGCTGCTAGCTTCACCAAGACGAAGCTCCTCCTCCAGTTTTCCTCTTGTTTTCCAAGGGATATGTATAGTCTCCTGATCACTATTCTGTGTGACTTAAAAAACCCTTTTCTTGGTTCTCCCAAGAGCACAGGAGGGACCACCAGTTACACTAGTATCTGTCCTGCTCTATACCATTCTACTTCCGTTCAGAGTAAAGTGACTATCTTAATGCTCAGTTACCACTCAACAATTTCAGCTCAAATCTGCAGCAGTTGTACAATGGTGACAAGCTGCTATGAAGCAGGGCTAGTGTAAACAGGATACTACTCATCCAGCTTAGCAATCTCATGCTATTATCAAGGCAGTGGTGGCACTTCCCTTCGATTTTTCTGCTGCAGCAATTTCTTGACAGTCTCCTAAGGGTTGCTATAATAATGTGCAGGAATATTAGTGTAGGCATGTACTGTTATGTGCTGAACTTCATGAACTGGTGTGCAACAGCAAACAGGCATATAACAAATATGCCTGTTCCAGTAATACAAAATGATTCAGCTGCAATCCTAGCTTCTTAACTTGCACTAATTTGCCAATGAGATTTATGCCTGCAGCTGGTCCTAACACTGCATGCCAGAGGCAGTCTAGTTAATAGGAAGGGATCACCAGATTTGATATGAGAAATAATAATACTGAGAAATGTAGTGTGTTATTTTGTAAAATAAAAATGTTTCTTTGATACCTTACTTTGGTATTCTGAAACGTTCTCTTGCAGGGACCACCACTTGCATCATTGGATTGCCTTGCTAGCAGACTGCCCCATCACCGCTCAGATGTATGAGGACACAGCACTAATAAAGGATCATACCTTAGTGAATTCCTTGATCCGTGTGCTGCAGACTTTGCAGGAATTCAATATCACACTGGAGACGTCTCTTGTGAAAGGGATTGACATTTGATTTATGTTACAAGCACTGTAACGAAGCAAAATGAAACAGAAAAAAGCATCAGTGGAACATGAGATTAATAATGCAAAGAGTCTGTCTGGTAATACAGTCCATTGCATTCAAACATTCACATCACTCCACACTACTCTTCTGGAAAGAAGCTCCAAATAAACTGTGGACATATTAATTGAAGCTCTATACCCAATGTGTAAAAGGAAGAATTACTGTAAATCACTTTTAGAGTTTATTTGCTGATTTGCTTTTACATACTTTCATGTGAAAGAGTTAGCTAATGAGCATTGCACAGCTTATTTTAAAGCTGTAATATTTCTTTGCCATAAAAATGGTGTAGTGAGAAGTGCTTGACGTTCTCTGAACCTGCCTTTAGATGGTATCTTGCAAAGTGTAATTACTACATTCCATTTCTGCTAAAGATCACAAAGCAATTTAAAAATAATATTTTACTATATATTTATCATCACTGGCTTTTCCATATTGGGTCACTGCTATGCTGCAAGAAAACTAAACGTTTCAATATTGTTTTTAAGAGCCTCAAAGCACTGAATTTGTTAGCAAATCTCTTTTCTTTTTGTTGTCAGTATTATTTTTTCAGATTTTGCAGGAGTGAATCATGCAGATCTGTAGAGATCGGTGATATTTTTTCATATGGGTACGAAATTGCACAGAGATAATTATAAACATGTTTTTAACTGGCGTTTATTTATTTAACTTTTGATCATGTTGTAACATCTTTATCTAAAAAGGGTAGAGGGAGAACATATATACTTAATGGGCCCTGTTACATGTCTATTGTGTTTTCATATCTGGACGCAGCTAGAACGCACCCCATTTAAATAGAAAGTCCAGAATAATAGTGTTGGTCAGCAAAATATGTCTGTGTGAATCTGCTTTTGGTTATACTGTATGTTATAAATACAAAGTACCGGTACTAAGCTGATAATTCTAAAGCCATCTATATCCTATGTAATGGCTAACAACCTAATCTAAGACTTGTTGGAACAGTATATAGATACATAAGATTGGACATAGCACCAATTTCACAGTTACATGATATCTTAAAATACTTGCACAACTTTATAACAGCATCATGAGCACTTATGGCAGTGCAAGTATTTGGGGTTGGGTGTGAGTGAAGCCAGTATTACTGTGACTTACTTGTGCTGCTACTTGGCTTAATGCCATGTTAAGTTTTCAGGTCCTTCACTTGGAAACCCCAGTTCACAGGCAAAACACACATAAACTTTTCTTGAAAATGCTGACAGTTCATATACTAGTTTTTGTATTTTGTTAACGATTGGTTTTCTTGGATGCTTGTGAACATTGGATACAAACATTAGTTTAATCTTATAATGTTCAGACTATGTGGACTTTTTAAATATCAAAATTCCATTTGGAAAAGATCTAGAAGAAACGGTTCTTGTTAGAATTCTCAGCTAAAAACCCTAGAAGATGCATATTTAATTCAGGCAACACTAAGATGCATTGTACAGGGCTTTAGGCCTCTGCATTAAGAGGCAATTGCTGTATAAAAATTGTCTCAAAAGTTAGGCTCTAAAATGAAGAGCAATGAAAAAAGAGTTTTAAAATTTTCAGTCTCTTCAGCAAGTAGCATAATTTTTTTCGTACATCTTGTGGTAATTTTTATTCCGGTAATTTAAAGATATAGCACATGTATTAAATTTTACTATTTTTACTTTTCTTGTGTTTATTTCATTATTGTTTTTAAATGCCTTCATTCTTGCTTCTGTACACCACCTTTCTTATATGAATTTGTTCTTCCAAGAACATGTTAGACATCAGATGATGCACCCTACTCTTTTTTGCCCCCTTTAGTGGATAATCACACTTGTATTGTTGTTGGTTGTATAGTTCTACTGAGGTTACATCTCTGTTAACTTAATTGTTGGACTACTGAAAAGTAAAACACGTAACAGCACAAAGACCCATTACACATTTTTCTAATGGCTTTCTTATACAATAACATATTCCTTAAGTTTGAATATAATATAATGATCATTTTGAGTGCCTATTCAGCAAAATTTGCCTCTGGTAACTAAGGAGAATACTGTACATATGTGGGACTACATCATAATAAGTTTTATCTCAGTTTTGACATTTCTCCTACAGAAAAAGACATAGAATATTGTGATTCTTTTTATAACCTTTTCGTACAACTCAAGGGGGTGAAAGCATTAATCAAAAATTCCAATGTTATACTACATTATGGAAGTTGTTGGTGCTGCTCTGCTATCTCTCAGGCAGGTGGATATTTCCAGCCACATGCAAGAAGTAGTGTATTGATGCCAGCCAAATGCTTGTGTCCAACGTACAAGAAAGCAAATTGATCCAGGTACAATGGAATATAATGGCAGTTGAAATACAGTATGTCTTTACCAGAAAAAAATATACATCAGGACCCTCCCCCCATTGCTAATTGTGAATCCAAGGTAGTTGTAGACTTACAGTTTGGAAACCTGTTGGCCATTTACACATGAGTAAGTCATAGCAGGAAATTGCCACTAATTAATGAGATGCCGGTCACATTCTCGGTTGTGTGGCCATGATAAAGAATGCAACATTACATGCATAACTCACCAATAAGATTCTCTGCCATAGTCTTCCAGGATAATTCTCCATACACCTCCACAGTACTGCAAAGCAAACTGCTTTTGAAATTCAGAAAACTTTCTTAGACAATTTGTGACATGGTCAGCTCTTGAAAGATGCAAGGTGATCGACTCAGGAAATTCTTTCCCACAGTGTGTGTATTTTCATCTTCTTACAGTGTGTGGTTTTGTATTGTAATAGAAGGCAAATTTGCTGTAATATGCATTTGCTCCTCCCCCACCCCAAATTCAGCGAGGCCTAAGATAATAAAATCTAGTAGATGTTTACTGAAATAATCTTTTTAATGTCCTCACAAAATTACTGAAATCGTTCAGTCAATACAAGTGCTGACCAAATTTTGACCTTTTGTTCTGACATTGTTTTAGAAGGCATACAGTTAAGTACAGTAATAACTAAATATAGGCTACATACTCCAATGTATAGAAAATAGTTCCTGCACCATTATAGCAAAACCCAATTCTCAATTTGGTACTAGAGAATGAATGATTATAGAATCTACAATTTCTGTTGTGTGAAAAAGCATTGCTGAGATATCATAAAATTTAGCAATATTCTTCCTTTAAAACAATTCCCATCAAATAGCTACAGGCCTTTATAAAATAACACACACCAGTCTGCATTTGCTGAATGAACAAGCCTTTCAATTGTTCTTAGAAAAATCAGAATATAAAAGTTTATTTTGTAGTTAAAGGTGGGTTTTTATTTAATAATTTGAAAAGAGTGTTTGCTTATTCATTTCAAAGTCCAAATTTTCCAGTACATAAATGTTTAAAATAATTTAAAATCACTTTTTGATGTTTAGAACACTATTTTAATAAAATAAATAATACTATCTTCTGAATAATATTTAACTTTCAGAGTCCTTTAATTACAGATTGAAATATTTGGGAATTCATTTAAATGTGCGTCACTATGTGTGAAAATATGAATTAAGATTTCTTTTCAAATGAAACTCTCAAGTACAAACCTTTCCTAGAAATGCTTTTCAAAACTTTTGTTACTGTAGCTCAAGATGTCTGGAGAATGGAGCAAATTATCAAACATTATATGGTTACTTTTACTTTTATATTTTCTCCTATACTTACAGATATTTATTTTCTTCAAGATACAGCATCTATTGTAATAACTTTATTATGGAAAGAATGTGTCACAAGTTTTTGAGGTCAAGCATTCAGGTTTATAGCACAGGAACAAAAATCTGAGATACTGTATTACTTTTTAAATTTCCTAACTGTAGTTCTAAACATTGTACAGGTGCAGCTTGCATTTATGAACTGAAATAAAGCTTTTTTTTTTTTGCTAACATGACCAGCAGGGTTAATTTAATTTGCTATCTCTAGCAGCTGCTTATTTTAATCAGGCTTGATATTCTGTTAAAGCACTTAATCATTGTAGTGTACTAGTTGAAACAAGTTTTGAATGCATTTACTGTACACTGTAACGTGTGAAAATTTAATATTTTAGTATGTGCTTAAACTAACATGTGAAGAGCTGCTCATACCACCCTCCACAGTACTACTGCTTTTTTCTCTGTTAGGCCTACAACAAAAACAAACAGAACTTCAATGTTGTTATGTGCTATCAAGTTATAGCAACCCTAAAAGAGCTTTCAAGGCAAGTGAGATATTTAAGGAGTGATTTCACCAGTTCAACATGTCAAGGAAACTGCAGAGTGCATACCTTCACCAGGCTCCCTAAGTTCTCCAGTTCTAGTGGAACAAAGACTCAGAAAGCATAGTTCCCATCGCCAAAGTCTATTTACAAATGCAAATAGACAAACGGCAGCATCCCTGCATCTGAGTAAATGAGCTTTCAGAGCAGTTGAGTTCAGGATAGCATAGGCTCTCAAACTGAACCAAATTGTACATGTATCCATACAAACTTATATTCACAATAGCCAATGACATTACATCAGCTTCTTGTATCATCTGCCTACTCAGCATGATGCAAGAAGCATCTTCACTTTTTCCTTATTAATTGCACCTGCTGTGCTTGACTTTACCTTACATCTATTTGTATTAATAAATTCTAACTGTATGACAATATCAAAACCTTGACACAACATCCTCAGTTTCCATGGCTGAGTGGGGATTTGAACCCAGGCCTGCTGAGTCCCAGTCCATCACTCTGTCCACTAGACCACATTGGATATTTTTCAAATTCAGCATGAAAGTTTTTTATAAAACATTTAAAACATATATATGAAGAATAAAGAGATTGTGCTCATGCAAATAAAGTGGAATGCACTTTTTAGAAGCATAGGTTAATTCAGATTTTAAAAAAGACAGTACAGAATTTATGCAATTAGTATTGTGAACTTTGTTACTGAAGTCGAGTAAGCTGTGTTTATTCAACAGAAATATTTTGATTTTAGAAAAAAAATTAACTCTACCTTTCCATTACAAGGCCCTTAAGCAACAAGTTTCACTGAAAGGAAATGAAATTTCTCTTACTGACATATTCTATTTGTTAAAACAATATTCGTGAATATAGTGCATACTTCAAGCCCTTTAGAAGAGGGTTGTAATTTGAAATGTTTGCAGTAGATGGCAATATTGAACAGAAGCTGTAGAGTTGGGTAGACTACTTACAGCAATACTGTAGTTCCCAACCTTTTTTGAGTTGTAACCCCCCTTTTATAATAGCCAAGTAACCTACAACACCCCTTGCTATATTTGCATAAAAAGACAAAAAGATATAAGATGACCCATAACCCCCCAGAAAACACTCTGCGACCCCCAGGTTGGAAAACACTAACTTATAGGAACACAGTGTTTCAGTGTTTTTCTTTATATAGAGAGAGGTCTTTTAGACCAGATGGGCAGGGTATAAATCAAATAAATAAATAAATATTGCTTATAAGCTGCAAATGAAATAATAAAATGCTTATTTTAACATTGGCTTTTAGTACACCAGACAAAATACTAGTTCATCTGATTTAAAAGCCTATCTCACACATATCCTGCTTTGGCCTGAGAGTTATTCAAGGAAAGTTGCCTGAGTTATTCGAAGGGACTGCCCTTGTTATAACTTAGGGATGAACCATTCTGTCTGTCTGGAGCTGCATCCCCTTAAGGGAAATCTCTAAGGGGCTGTATGGCAGTGGTGGGCTAAGTTAGCATCAGAAAGAAAAAAGCCACTCCCCTTTTATATATATATATATTGGTCACACTTGGCCATAGTGCCTCTTTGTTGTCTTTTTCATCCCCTTTCTCTCCTATAGCAAGCTAAAGAGGAAGGATCAGATTGCTTTTCCAGAGGACTTGTGGGTACTTTTTCAAATTAGGCTGAGAGCACATGACATTCCTGGGGTAGGAACCGGCAATTCCACTCCAGTATCTTTGCCAAGAATGCCCCATGATCAGAAACAAAAAGCTAAAAGATATGACGCTGGAAGATGGGACCCTCAGGTCAAAAGGCATCCAACATGCTACTGAAGAAGAGCGGAGGACAAGTACAAGTAGCTCCAGAGCTGATGAAGTGGATGGGCCAAAGCCGAAAGGACGCTTAGCTGTGGACGTGCCTGGAAGTGAAAGGAAAGTCCAATGCTGCAAAGAAAAATACTGCATAGGAACCTGGAACGTAAGATCTATGAACCTTGGTAAGCTGGAGGTGGTCAAGCAGGAGATGGCAAGAATAAACATCGACATCCTGGGCATCAGTGAACTAAAATGAACAGGAATGGGTGAATTCAACTCAGATGATTATCATGTCTACTATTGTGAGCAAGAATCCCGTAGAAGGAATGGAGTAGCCCTCATAGTCAACAGAAGAGTGGGAAAAGCCGTAATGGGATATAATCTCAAAAATGATAGAATGATGTCAATACGTATCCAAGGCAGACCTTTCAACATCACAATAATCCAAGTTTATGCACCAACCAGCATTGCTGAGGAGACTGAAATTGAACAATTCTATGAAGATTTACAACACCTTCTAGAACTGACACCAAAGAAAGATGTTCTTCTCATTCTAGGGGACTGGAATGCTAAAGTAGGGAGCCAAGAGATAAAAGGAACAACAGGGAAGTTTGGCCTTGGAGTTCAGAACGAAGCAGGACAAAGG